AAATTATTGTGGGACTTCAGAGAAGACTTCATGCAAGCTGGAGAGGGGTTGTCAGGAACTATTTGTGGAGTTGAATTGTAGATGTGAGTTTGGATTGTTCTAATGAAGAGAGAAACTGTGGTTAAAACATGAGTTGGGCATTGGATTTCAAGGAGAATATTGGACTTTTTGAAAAAAAGTATGTGCACAGCTGTTCTGTCTGCATGCATGTCTGTGCACCATGTGTGTGCAGTGCCTAAGGATGCTGGGATTAACCTATTGGATCGTTTGGACTGGAGTTACAGGTGGTTGTGAGCCCCTTTGTGGCTGCTGGAAATTGAACTCAGGTCCTCTGGAAGATCAGCTAGTGCTCTTAATTGTGGAACCATCTCTCCAGCCCCTGAGCATAGAAGGGTCTTGCCTAGAGAACAGGATGAATTTCACAGATGACAGAGGAGGAAAAGTTGATGGTTAACACTGTAGCATTTTGGGATTACTGGTCTTTGGGGGATGAGTGTGTGTGTGTGTGTGTGTGTGTGTGTATGTGTGTGTGTACATACATGCCTGTGTGTGTGTACATCTGTCTGTTTTTTTGCCTGCATGTGTGGTTAGGTTCCTGCATGCGTGCGTGCATACACGTGTGTCTGTAATTCCAGTAGTCCCAGGCAGATGCTTATACCTGGAGCTGGCAGTGTGAGGCTGCCTTTGAGTGCCTCTGCTTACTTTCCCATGACTAAGAACCAGGAAGAGTGAAGATGGTCATTACACAGCTTGTGACAAAGTGACACAGTGGCCTCACTGCTTCCTGTTTCTGTGGGGGAGGGGGTAGGAAGAAGCATTTTAGGGGATGGCAGCGAATGGGATCTAGGTCGTGCCAAGGTTCGCCATGTTTTCTGTAGGAAAGCTAGCATACACTTCGTGGGGAAACCACTGAAGCAGTGGGAAGGAGTTGAACGGTAGTGTATCGAGACTGCAGTGGTTGCAGCCTGGGGACACACACACACACGTGTGAACAGGCCAGGGAGGCTGGAACTCCCTCCTCTTGCATTCTGTGTCGGTTCTCCTAACCCACTTCCCCAGACAGTCCTTATTCAGAAACCACAGCCTACTCTGAAAGTACAATAGAAAATTACTGCCGGGGTACTTCCTCAGGCTTCTTGACCAAGACTGCAGAAGGACACTGTTTGAAACTGTGACCTCCTTCATGCAGGAGAGGCCATTTCTGAGAGGTGGCGGGATGTTCTTATTCTCTTGCCTCACTGACAAGTTACTGTGACACAAGCCAGACTGCGGTCCAGGGAGAGGAGAATAGGATGTATGTGCCACAGGCAATGACAGGGACACCTTTCTTTCCTAACTGGGCAGGATGTTCTTCATGACCCCTGTGGGTCATGGATTGAGTGACCATCCTCATGTGATGGTCACACCGGTAGAGATGGCTCTGACAGTGAATTCTTTGTAGTGTTTACAGCTGAACCTTCAAGTTGGTTCTTTTTTCTTATGTGCATACAGATTAGCCCTTAATAAAGACAAGAAATATATCTATTTAAAAAGAACTTTTCTCTGAATCATAGATTACAGATTGTAACATCATGTGCTTTCAGTGTCCAATTTGGTGGTAGAATTTTTTTTGAAATATTAGTTTTTATTTCTCTCTCTCTCTCTCTCTCTCTCTCTCTGAGTGAGTACCACATGTGAGCGGATGCCTGTGGAGGTTAGAAGAGGGTGTTAGGTCCCCTGGAACTGGAGTTACAGGAGGCTGTGTGATGCCTGATGTGGGAGCTGGGAGCTGAACCCAGGTCCTTTATGACAGCAGTAAGAGCTCTTAACCACTGAGCCTTCCTTCTTTCTAGTTCCCAATTTAGTCACTTTGGTAAATAGTGATAGAGCTGTTTAATTGTCACCACAGTTCTGTAGTCTTTTCATTTCCCTCAAAAGTTTGCAAATGGATAGTTTGCTCAGTCACTGACCTCATATCCAGCTCAAGCAGCAAATCATTTGCTCTGTTGTCTGGCAGATTAGCATATTCGGAACATTTAAAAGTAGAGTAAAAACATGATGCATTTGCTTGTGTCTTCTTTAGCTTAGCACACTTGTGGTTATCAGGGTTGTGGCCTGTGTCTGTATATCATTTTTCATTGCTGAATGCTATTCCCTTGCATGGATTATGGTCAGCACTCTTATCTGTTTCAAGTAGGGCACACGAGCCACATCTACATGTTTGTTTCTCCGATGTCACTCTCTAATACGGTTTGTGATGCAAAATAGGCAACCAGTCGATATGTTGGAAGATGGGAAAGGGACACCATGTTTCTTGACAAGGTGTGATTCACTTCAGATCAAAACTATTTGGAAAAAGATATTGTTTCTATTGGATTTGAGTAGATATTTTTCTTCTCAATTTTTTCTTTTTGTGTATGTGTATGCATGTATGTATAGTATATGTATGCATGTGTACATATGTGTGTTTAGGGTGGAGATCAACATTAAGTGTCTTCTTCCATTGCTCTTCGCGGTTTCCACTGTCTCCAATGTTCTCCACCGTCTCCATTGCTCTTACCGCCTCCATTGGTTTCCACCGTCTCCTTGGTCTCCATTCTCCCCTTTGCTCTCCACCGCCTCCATTGTTCTTCATTGTCTTGTTTTTTTGAGACAGTTTCTCTCACTGAATCTGGGGTTCACTAGTTATCTAGACTGGCTGACTAGTGAGCCCCAGGGGTCCCCCTGCCTTCCTATCAACTATGCAAGTTTACAGGTGCATCTGTGCCCGCACCCAGCCTTTTAAATGGGTGTTATGGTTCCAGTATCAGATGCCCATGTTTATGGGAGGACACTCTCCCAGCTATAATTCTCAAGTGATACAGTATAGTAGCTGCCTACCAGCAACTACATTATTTTAGATACTGTCAGTCATCTGTAGTCATAGAATAGGAAAGAGTATGCTTAAGCTATGTGTCAATACCACACCTTGTTTTATAAGATGTTGTATATTTTCTTATCCTCCCAGGGTGGGGGGTGTACAGTCCATCTGGAATAGATATCAAGGCACAGCTATATCATAGTTTGTGTACTCAGCCATAGCCGAGTTGTTTTTCCTTGTTGACTGTTGTGAATAACACAGCCACGTTGGTGTCTTGTGACTGCTGTAACAAATGATGGCAAATTCAATGGCTTGAAACAACAGGAATGTGTTACCTCAAGTTCTGGAGCCCAGAGTTGTGAAATGAAGGTGTGGACTGATCTGTATGACCCTGGAGATTCTCAGGAGGGTCTGTCACATGCTACCGCCAGCTCTGGTGGTGCCTGGCTGTTCCAGTTGCTTTGTTACAGCAAATCTTGGCTTCCATTCATTCTCCTTCCCTTCTCTCAAGTTGTAGGAAACACCCTAAGATAACTACGTGTCCTTTCCCTTACCTCTTTCCCCTGATAAGGTGGCATCCAAAGGTTGCGGGAGATTGGTGTGGATATCTCAGGCGCTACTTTTCTGCCCACCATAGCAACTATGAACATTGAGAAAAGGGTAGGTCTGATGTAGTTTTTCTTATTTTTATTGCTGTTCTAGGAGTGGATTTTCTGAGGCACCTAGTAACTTTTTTTCTTTTCTTTTTTTTTTTTTTTTGTGGTTTCTCACGACAGGGTTTTTCTGTATAGCTTTGGAACCTGTCCTGGCACTCACTCTATAGACCAGGCTGGCCTCAAAGTCACAGAAATCTGCCTGCCTCTGCCTCCCTAGTGCTGGGACTACAGGCGTGCACCACCACTGCCTAACAATTTGTTTAACTTTTAAGAAACTTCCAGTCTAGTTTCTGAAAGGTCTCTTGTTATGCAGTCTTACCAACCAGGGATTTGAGCTCTAGTAACTCTGCATTCTTGGAGGATGTCTTTTTAAATACAGCTGTTCTAGTAGGTGTGAAGAGGCATCTGACGGCGGTTTTGATTTGCATTCCCCATGACTAATACATGCTGAATGCGGTTCCTGTGCTTCTTAGTCACTTGTGTGGAGTTACGATGAAATACCTATGCAAAGCTCTGGCTTGTTCTTTCCCATTTCAGTTGTGAGTTAGTCTGCTGTTCTCTATGGGACCCTAACAATACCTGTCCTAAGGATTATGGGGTGCTGGGGTTACTCTGCCCCGAGTGTGGAGGGCAGGGCCATGGTGCCATCCTTGCATCGGACCTATATCAATCTGTGATTTGAAGCAGATGACCCTCATATGCAGCCTTTTCGACCTGAGAGCATGTCAAGGAAGCCAAGAGATGACTCCTCTGTGCCCTAAAGACCATGGACTTAAATGACTTTCAGGTTGGCTGTTGTCTCACGGACAAGGGGACCAACCCACAGAACTTCTCATTGTATTCTCTAGCCTAGATTCTTCGGTAGAGCTCTCCCAACTTTAACAGTTATTTCTGGGATTATATATTTGGTACCTTTCTCCCTCCCACTTGGCTGTTACATTTCTTGGGGTTAGAGGCTACATCTGTGTGTTCTGTCTGACACATGTGGTATGTGCTAGGCAACCAGTCAGCACGTTGAAGGAAATACAGCTCATGTGTTCTGCTTTACACGGAGCGGATCACACGAGATCATTCAACAGAGGATGACTTGTTGCGTTCCGTGATGGCTGCTGTTGATTGTCATGTTGACAGACCTGGAAAGGGGGAACCTCCGCTGATGAATTCCCTTCATTTGATTGGTCTGTAAGCTTGTCGTTGGGGCATTTTCTCAACTGCTGGTTGATGGGAGGTAGCCCTGCACACTTGTGACTGATAAGGAAAGTAACTGAGCCAGGCAGGGAAAGGAAGCCAGCAAGCAGCCCTCCTTCCTGGTCTCTGCTTCGGTTCCTGCCTCCAGGTTCCTGCCTTGAGCTCCTGTCTTGGGTTCATTAGCTGAACAACTGTAAACCTGGTCCATATTTTATCACAGCAACAGAGAAGTGAACTAGAGCAAATACACCGGCCGCTAACTTTGGAATGTGCCATTTCATAGCATGTTTTCTAATCCCCTTTCTTCTCGTTCACAGCAATCTATAACTACAATGCGTCTCAAGATGTGGAACTCTCCTTGCAGATCGGTGACACCGTCCACATCCTGGAGATGTATGAGGGTGAGTGCAATGGCCTCCTGCTGGGCGGGGCCCAGGAAGAGTCTATAGGAATTACTTATTAATAAAGCACTTAGCGTTAAAGTCCGTGTGCTCTATTCCTCCTGCTGCAGTAATGGAAACCTAGGGAGTACCCAAGTGATACAGCCCCACGCAGAGGGTATTTTCAACGCAGCCTGTTCACGGGAACATGAATATGTCTAGATACTAAAGTCAAAGTTTTTGACACTGGATACAAAAGGGTTCAGCTGCAGAGCTGGCTAGTGGAGACATAACTTGGGACATCAGGCTTGTGGTAGCTGGAAGGAAGCATTGCCATTTAGGGGTGGATCTCTTTCTACTTGGTGCCCAGCATGGCACGGTTGGGGGAGAATGGGAGTGAGGTCCTGTGATGGTATTGAGACCGAGAGAGCTGGGCCAGGACTGTAACAGCAGGTCATGTTTGGGCTTGTGTGTTTCCTCCAGCTGCTCAGGACTGGGCAGTGGTTCTGGTCAACCTGGGCAATACTAGGACCGTGCGTGCAAAGCCCAGATCACACCTGCATGCATCCATCCCACCCCAGGAAGCCTCCAGGAATTTTCATCTCTAGTCCCAAACCACAGGGCAACGAAAGTGTACCCAAGCCACCCAGGTTGAGGTGAAAAGCAGAGCGCAAACTCTTGGGCACAGTTTATTGCACCCCTGTGAAGGTTGGGATGAGGAGATGGGGGGAACCTAGGAAGATTTTTCTTAGAGCAAAGCTTGTTGGGACAGGCACTCTGCAATTGGTAAATGCTGGGGCAGTGGGATGGCAAAAGTGTCACCCAGGAGCCTGTGCTGATCTCTGGGTTCAGGCAGGATGACACAAGAAGGGGGAAGAGATGGGAAGCCTGGGGGAAGGGAAGCAGGATTTGGCCATAATTAAGCTGCTTGCATGGGGGACTGTTGTGATGGCTTCCTCCCTTTGAGCGGGTGTTTGCCCCCCACTTGTCCTTCCCTAGCACTCCATTTAGCTGTCAGGTTCTGGGGCAGTGTGTAGTCAGAGAGGACTGTGAGGACTCTCCCACTTTCACAATCATCCTTACCGACCTCAGGCCTCACCGGACACCGGTTCTAACTCACCACTACACTCACAATACCTGACATACATGTTTTTGGACTCCTGCTTCTGGAAACCACAGTCCCCTCAGACCCTACTAGGTCAGTGCTTTGTCAGGGGCCAGATGGCTATGTAGTGTGGTCCCTGTAGACATACTTTCCCACTGTGCAGGTGAAAAGCATGTGTTCAACTTTTGTAACTTCCCTATGGGCTTGAAGACACGCATGTAAGGATCATTCAGTATTAAGTTCCATACGTGACATTTGGATCCAGATTTTATACCATTTTCTAATCTGCTGTATGTTTTTTTTCTGGTGTTTTGGTTGCTGTGTTGAGTTTTTCACCACAGATGTAGTTTCTGTCTCTACAGAAATGGGAGGGTTTTTTTTTTGTTTTTGTTTTGTTTTGTTTTGTTTTGTTTGCTTTATATGGTTTCAAACCTGTTTTTAGAACTGTGCTAAATAACTCTCTTAACTCCTGCTTATTAATTCTTTTACCTGTCCTCATCCATGGATGTACTTTATGTTTTACTGAAATTACAGTCAACTCATTCTGAGGCCCAGCTCTCTAATTTCTGTCCTGCTGGCCCCATAAGGTCCTTTGAAATGTTACCCTAAGCCACTCAACCATCCTTTCTGACATCAGTAAGTGCCCCAGGCAAGATGCTGGCTCCCTCAAGTACTAGGCTGATCTCTTTGGGGTTTGGCTTTCTACAGATTTTGGCATGGAAAGTCTTGGTGCTAGTATGGTCTCTGTCTCTGTCTCCCCCTCCCTCCCTCCCTTCCTCCCCCTTCCCTCCCTTCCTCCCCCTCCCTCCCTCCCTTCTCCCTCCCTCCCTCCCTCTCTCCCTCTCTCCCTCCCTCCCTCCCTCCCTCCCTCCCTCCCTCCCTCCCTCCCTCCCTCCCTCCTTCCCTCCCTATCTCTGTGTGTGTGTGTTTCGGTGGGAGAGGGGTGCTTGCCTTATGGAGTGTACCAGAGAAGAATAGCGTATTGATGCTGATCTGACATAGTTAACAACATCCCTGAAAATGCATTCTTAAGATTGTTCCCTCAAAGAAGGTTGTTTTTTTAAATTTTTATGTGGCTCTATTATAATTTTGAAGCATGCTATCCTCATAGAATAGATCCATATTAGTAATGGTTTGAGTATGTTCACTCTTACGCTGTGTCTGGTGGTCTCAGTGAGGACTGAGCTTGGTTCAGTATGCAGCCTGAGCGTCTCTTACCCAGAGTACTTGGGACTGCAAGTGTTTCTGATTTCAGACTGTTTGGGATTTTGGAGTATGTGTAATGAAATATTTAAGGACTAGCACCTAGCTGTAAATCCATCTTTCTTTTTTAGTATATGTTTTATGCATGTTACCTGAAGATAATTTTGTACAGTATGTTGAATAACTTCATCACAGTGTGTAATCTACCGTGGTATCATGTCAGTGCGCATAAAGTTTTCATTCTTGGAGAATTTTGGATTTTTGAGTTTTGGATTAGGGATGTTCATATTGTACTTAATGTAAACAGAGATACACAAGTCCCATATGCATCTAACCCCATGTAGCTGAGTCCCCAAATCCCAATCATGGTGCTTTTAGGATATCACTGCTCCTGCATAGTGTGATATTGCAGGGAGCTCTGGCCCATTGGCCATCATACAGAAAACCTCACCAATATGGCCCTTTGGAATGATCAGGAGCTGTCCACCCAGCCAGCAGAAAGAGAGTTTTCCTGTACTTGTTTCCATAGAGTGTTTGTGTGTCACTCTTAGAGTTTGAGGCTTGCAGAGAAGGATGCCACCGATTATGCTTTCAGATCCGGCCTGTGTCCTGGTGTGAGTAGGGAAACATATATGGACAGAGTTCATAACCTCTGAGTGGCATGTTCGTTCCACACAGATTATTACATCGGATTATATTTTTCGAATAGTGTTTCTTCATTTTTAAATAGTGCCTGCCTTGACCAACACTCAGGGGGAGGCTCTTGTATCTACTTAGTACTTGGAGTTCTTGGCGAGAGTCTTGAATTCCTTTATTATTTCAGGCAGTTGAGAACCGGGGGCAGGAGTGCTTTGCAAACATGAGACCTGCAGGAAATGCTGAGTAATGACTTGTGTTCACTGTCCCACTCCCTGCTCCTGTCTTCCTTTAAAACAAATAAACAAGATGGAAACACCCACAATACTGCCAGAGAGAATGCCAGGATAGGGCTGGCACCATTTCTTGGCCTCCAGGGTTTTTTGCAGAGCAAACTTCCTGTTGGTGACTCTGGGACTTTCCCTCTGCACATTCTGCCCCAGTCCACCTCTGAGACAAGCAGGCCTGGTCTCTGTGTGCTGTTCTGGCATGGACCTGAGTCCTCCCAGACATTTTCTCTTTATGATTTCAGTCCACAGCCCACAACAGAATACCACTGAGGACTCCTTTTGGCTGCTTCCTGCCCTGTGGTTCAATGAGTGATTCCCCAAGAGCAATGACTGCTGAGAGGCACAGCTGGCCCCTGCTTAATGTCCAGGTGCCCACCATCGATTTTGACATGCAGTAGGCCCCCAGCAGAAGTCTGGAGTGAGTGCTGCAGGTGAAATAAGGCTGTGATGGGCTGGGAAGCACCCCCACTCTCCTGCCCTCTGCAGCCTACACAACGATCTGGTTATTGCCTGTGTTTTTGCTTTTAATCTGAAACTGCAGCTTTATTGAGATACAACTCAAACGCCACACAGTTTGCTCACACAGTCTATGATTCTGTGGTTATTTATTAAGCATACTTTACAGGGAGTTGGGCAACTGTCAATCACTGTCTACTTTCATTACCCCGACTGATTCTAGGAAACACATACCTGCCTTTTGCTTCTGTGAGTTTGTTCTAGACTTTTATAGTAGTGCAGGCAAACAGTGTGTGGTGCTTTGTGGCTGCCTTCTTCTTAGTAGTATAGTGTTTTCAGGGCTCATGTGTGCTCGAGCAAGCATCAATACTTCATTTCCTTCTGTCCATTGCATGACCATACCACAGTTCATCCATGTAGCATCGGATAGATATTGGAGCTGTTCAGATCTTTCAACCATAACGCTGCTCTAAACATTCATGGACCAGTTCTGTGTGGATGTGTTTTTTGTTTCTCTTAGGTAGGCACCAGGAACCATGACTGCTCTGTTGTTATATGGTAACTCCATGTTTAAATGGTCTAGAATCTTCTAGACTGCTTAATCTTTGACTTAAAGCCAGAAAACCCCAGTCTTTAAAGACAGAGCTGCTCTCACTTGTTCCTTTGAAACTTGTAGCCCCTGCCCCCAACTTAATTTGTTAAAGATGAAAGAAGGAAATGAGTTGATAGAGAGGGTATATACCACTTCTTTGTAGTTCTCGGAGAGTTGTCTTTAGAGACTGCAAGAGAAGAGAAATCTTTTAGTTTGAAGCAGGTTCCCTTGCCACTCCTCTTTGGCACTGATCTGTCTGTGGTTGGTGCTCTCTCTTTGTTCCCTTACATCCTGGAAGGTATTTGGCAACGAGACACCCATTCTCCCCTATGAATGAGCTCTTTCCTGCTCAATATCCAGGAGTATGTGGACAGAGACACTGGACCCGTCAGCTACAGTCTTGTTTTTCAGCAACACCTGCTTCATGCCTACCATGTACCCAGTGCGTTAAAGCACAACGGATGTTCTAACTCTGCTCAAAGGAGTGAGAAAACAGCCAGGTGCTGCCTCTCATAGTGTTTTCCTAGAAAGACAAGACGCGAAAGTAAATAAACAAACATCTAGACACTATGCTGTAACATGAATAATAAAAACCAGGGATTGATATTGGGGTTCAAGCTTACAGCTGATGATCAGAAAAGCAAAGCATCTGATCGATCACTAGCTCTTCCCTCTACCTCAGACCGAAAGGGCTGTCCTCTCCTCAGCGTGGCTGGAGACTAATTCTCCAAGACTGACT